AGATTCTAGGACTTGTATAAATAAGCCTTTTATTTATTTTAATCTTATCTGACAAATAATACATACAAATGATACAATTATAAACATTTGTTATTATTACCATTATTAAAGATAAACTATTTAAATAAATAATATTTTTATAGATACTAGTTGATATATTCCTGAATGTGATACAACGATGGCTTATGATCAATTGAGTGATATAACATTAAATTTAGCGACTTTTCTAAAAAACGACATGAGGGTTGCCAAAATGCAAAAAATAGGTGTGGAGGGATGTAAAAGTGCATAAACAATCGGCGCAGGGTAAAAAATTGTATAATTATCGCGTAATTAATAAAAAAAGGGGCTGATAATTGAAGTGACTTACCGTGATTTTCTCTAAAAAAGAACATGCAGCGAGCCAAAAACACGTATCTAATAGACGTAGAATTTGAAAGTGAAGTGAAAAAGCTTGAATTATAAAAAACAACGTCATAAATTGCGGAAAATGCAATTTTAAAATCAGGTAATTTGAGGTAATGCAGGTTCACAATCCAGCCTGCCCTTAGATATATTATACCTCTATTGCTCAATGGGGCGGGGTCGGTTGGGTTGGGTTGTTAAGTTTGGGTTGGTTGGTTTTGCCCATTTAGTGTACCTGCATAACCAAGATGACAGATAATCGTCATAAACTCAAATTACCTGATTTTAAAAATTGCAATTTATGACGTTGTTTTTCATAATTCCCGCTTTATCACTTCCACTTTCAAATTCTACGTCTATTAGATACTTGTTTTTGGCTCGCTGCATGTTCTTTTTCACAGAAAATTACGGTAAGTCACTTCAATTATCAGCCCCTTTTTTTATTAATTACGCGATAATTATACAACTTTTTCACCCTGCGCCGATTGTTTATGCACTTTTACATCCCTCCAAACATATTTTTGGCATTTTGGCAACTTTCCTGCCGTTTTGTGGAAAAGTCGCTAAAGTGAAAATTTACCGATAAAACTATATTGTTTTTACTATTTGCTTATTATTACTATTATTAAAGATAAACTATTTAAATACATAATATTAGAGTAGATACTAGTCGACATATTCCTGAATGTGATATAACGATGGCTTATGATTAACTCAGTGGTACATAATATTGTTATTTACTATTTGCTTATTAATACCGTGATTACTGTTTTTCGTTATTGTATAGCTATAAAGTATGAATCCTATGAATGAAGGCTTTGCTTTGCTGGATAAAAGTGAATTGTATCTGTGTTTCGACTTATTATACTAAATGGCTGATACCTATATTGTTACGGATAACCATTATTATATATTACTGATATTATACTTGTCTTAATAAAACTTAAGAATCTACATTTATATAAACTTGTGAAATACAACCTCTAAACTATAAATTTACATATATTAAACCCTTTTAAATTAAAAACTAACTGAACTAATAATCTTTAAAACGAACATAACCCTTATTGTAAAAACTATATGATTCAAATACAACGAATATAAAGCTGACAACCATTCTTTGTGTGTTTTATTACTAAATATAACTTCCTCTCACTGGCATTCTTCCTATTTAGAACCGAATTTGAATAACACAACGTAGGTATTTCTTTTCGACGACTAGACGATCACACTATTTTGGCCATACTTGACAACATTGCAAACCTAATGAGGTTAGGTTTCAATTCTTGAGATTCTACCCCCTCGTGCCCATCACATGGTGGAATGGCCCTTCTTGGGCTCATTATCCCATGTCAAATTGGCCAATTAAACCATTTGATATTACAAAATATAACTCAGAACTTCCTGAAATAAAAAAACAAGTGTTTTAAATAAATACCTCGTATGAAAGCTATTTTTTATAATATTTCGTTAAGAGTTTCAACTTGGTCTAAATATTAAATATAATAGTATATATTTTAAGATTTTTAATGAAATTGAATTCAACAAATTTAATTCAAATTTTAGATCTTGAAATTGCTGAAAAATTTATTTTAAAACACTTGCAACAAATCTATTTTAAAAAAGAGTTAAATAACATTAACAACAAAGATATTTTAAATCCCATTTTAAAAATTAGATATATTTCTTGATGATAATGGAGTAGTGACCTGTGGTGAAACTTTGACCCCTTCCAACACAGTGATATTAAATATTTTGATATTTCATTTAAATTTAATTAAATATATTGCCTTGGTTTAATATAGTTAATATTTAAAATTGTCATATAATTTCGTTATTTAAACTTACTTTGAAATTATCATTTCAAAGCCGGGGAGTATGTTAGCGCCAAGTATTGCGCCATGGGTTGGTTTAAGTTGTCGATGTGACTTTGGTTACATAACCTTTATTTTGTGTCATTGTTAGCAGTGCTGCCGGAGCCATATGTCAGCATCACCCGCGTGCGCGAATGAAAATACCCGCTTTTACCCGCCATTTTAATTTTAGAAAACTTCAAATTTAAATGTGAAAAAAAAAACAATCAAATAAAATCTTTTATATTTCTGTAAAACATTTCAAAATAAATAACACTTAAAAATTATACTTAATAATAATTATAGTATAAACATTGAGTAGTGGTATAATGGTATAAATGAATTCATAAGCATTTCTTCTGGCTGGTTCACTGTTGACTTGTTTTCCAAATTTTAGCGTTGATCATTTCCTGACTTTCAAATTTAAGGCAAGCAGTTTTGTAGATATTAAAGACGGCAACGTTGTACTGTCTAACGAATTTCTATGATCGGTCTTAATATTTTTTAGGTCACTGAAAATTCACCAAACACCAAAATTTGTCATCAGCAAGTAGCGACGAAACCACAGATGTGGATGTGGACGAACCCGTCCACACTACTCGGCATTCGGCGAGCAGTCGCTCGGTACTTGCCGAATGCCGCATGTCTGACGCCGAGTTGACTGCGTATGTTGAGTTGCATAAGATCAATTTTTTGTTTCAATATTTCTTGTTTTACTAATATTTTCCGAAAAATACCCGGTTTTACCCGCTTCAAACTTTTACCCGCACGCTGTATAAAATTACCCGCTTTTCGGGTAAAATACCCACAATTGGCAGCACTGATTGTTAGTAAAGAGTCTCAACTTAAGACTATCGATAATATCTTTGATACTTACTACTATACTATAACAAAAATAACATAACTTAATAATAATAATAAAAATAATATAAAAATTAAAAGAATCATAATCATAAAATTTATATATTTTGATATACATCATAAATAAGAAATAAAATAACCAATATAAAACATACATAAACAACATACGGATAATATAAAAGAAATACAAGAAGAATGATATAAGAAGAAAGATAATAAAATAAGAAATTATAAGAAGAAAGTTATTCATGGATTTTGGTGGAATAAGAAATTAAAATTAAAAATACTCATTTAGATAAATTTTAAATTAAATTTATAAATAAATAATTATACATATATAGATAACAAAATAATGGAATATAACTGTAAGTACAATATCTTCTTTTATTAACCTGTGGTGCATTGCACCATGTGCTTTGATTAATATTAAGGAATTTTATTTTATAAAATAATATATAATACCGAGTGACCAGTCGTTTTATAGTAAATCGACGTCAGTGCTACGTTGCCATGTTTTGTAAAAATTCCCAGAATAAAAGAAAAATTAAAATTGACAAAACAAGCGAGATTTAAATGATTTTATGGGGATCAAAGGCGTTTTGAAAGTTCGACTAGCCAGGTTGCCAGGTGGACCGGTCGCGGCGCGATTCAGCTTGCTGAGCTTGTTGGGAAGCGCGCGAAGCGTGCTTCCCTATAGCACAAGCAGCGGATCGCAAAAAAGTGACAAGGAGAACAACTGCCCACGAGACCTATACGTGGACCAAATATTTCCGGTATCGAAAAAGCCCAAGTCCACTTTTTTCCGATTTTTCTGTCAAATTTGGCACGTTCCGTTGAAATCGCTTAACTTTCGAACGAATGGAGATTTTCTGACCAAACTCGGGAAAAAGGTGCTTCGGGACGATAATTCGTTTCGGATTGTAAACGGGCTGGATCCGCCAGAAACTTTTCGAGTAACGATTTTTTAAATTTTTTTTCGAAAATTTTTTGATTTGTAGGGCGAGAGAAATTTTCGAAATTTTTCGAACGAAATACACGAATCGATGGGGGGGAATGGGAATGAAAACTAATCGGCCGAAAGCCCTTTTAATTTCACCGTAAGTTTAACAGTGGTTTATTTTTTAACACAGGTTTATTTGTCATAACTCGCTTGCAACGTAAATTAATTCTTGTTTAAATACCACTAAACTACGGTTAAAATAAACCTTTAATTTCGGGGGATTAAATTACTTTAATCCACCGTTAACGATTTATAACCTCAAAAGTACTTGTCATCGGTATTCAAGATCTTTTTTTTCGAAGATATTATTTCTTGACATCTTTAGCAAATCCAATAACTATAGTTATAGGTATAGAGGTCAGCAGCTATAATGAGTCACTACTAAGAACAAGAAATATAATAGAAAGAGTATTTGGAATTTGGAAAAGAAGGTTTCCAGTGTTGGCATATGACTTAAGATTAAAACTATATACAGTTTTTTTCATTATTCCAGCTGCAGCTGTACTATATAATATTGCTAGAGACATGAATAAACCAAAGCCGCCATTGCCTGATGATATTAATGCCCTGAACTGGCACGGTGCGGCTAAAATACATTTTATTAACATGTTTTTGCATATGTGATTTGTAAGTTAATTTTAATTGTCTGGCATCTTAATAACGCTTTAAAACCAAAAACAAAATAATCTATGGGGCGCTTCTTAAAAAAAGTTAGTTTTAATAAAATAAATTGAAGATAATTAAATTATTGAGCTTCTTAAGTTTAATATAAATAAAAACCAGTATTTTGATTTCCTAATATTTAATAAAGAAGGCGACTGTTAATTAATGTGACTTTTACACATCTAAACTGTTTCGGTTTCATTAAAACTTGTTTTGAAATGGAGAAAAATATACTAAAGAAGAAAGGAACGCACGATCAAAACCGTGCAAAAGTTTGCTTATTGTGTTTAAAAAAGGAGAGTCGTTGCAGCAAAACCAAGTTTGTGAAGATATTTTCAAAAGGAAAAGTTGAAGTTATGATAAAAACTCTATTTGAATATTCTGTTTCTGACGAACGATTGCCAAATCCTATTTGTAGTGGATGTTTACGAAAGTTATATCGGATAAAGGATGGAAGCCAAGAAACCATAGATCTGTCAAATTTATCACAGTTTTATGCAAAAACAACAAGATCTACTAGTCTGTTACCTTGTATGTGCAAAATTTGTTATATTGCAAGGGACCCTTTGTTCAAGAATGATACTAAAGCAAATATTTTGAAGCCAATAAGAGGTATAATTTTAAACCACATCTTATTTAACATATAAAGGATGAGGTCTAAATAATTCAATTAAATTTTACTTTCCAGGCAATAACCGCGTGGCGAATAGACGTTGCAAAGGCAGTTTTAAGAAATCAAAGAATCAAAAATTGTGTAAAACCTGCTTTACTTTGATCGCAAAAGGGCAAAGCCATAAGTGCAATAGTTCCAGGCAGTTTGTTAATCTACAAACAATTCCAAAAAGCAGAGATCAAATTATTGCAACTGTATTAAAAGAAAAAATCAAGGAAATCAAAAAACCTGAACAAAAATACACAGTGGCTCTCTCTCAGTATGCTGGTAAACCATTGAGAATATCTGTTAATCCACCCAACAAAGAAAACTGTATTAAAACCCCCAAGATTTTTGTAATTGATATTCAGAAAATTCAAACAAGCTTTAACCTTACTCAAAATACAACTCTCGGAATAGCATCAATGATTCGTGTGGCTAGTTGTAACCGAAAAGTAATTGAGCCTAATTTAAAGAAGGCACTTTCATCCGCTATTCACAGCTTGGACGAATTTTTTGAGGTAAAATCGTTTGATTTTATAAATATGAAAGCCAACAACGCCTCAAATGTTAAACAATATGTTGTTTATTGCAAAAATTTGGACGGTTTAATTGAGTACGTAAAAAACAGTGTCAAATATCTGAAGTGCACCTAAAGTTTGGCATCGATGGTGGAGGGAATTTCCTAAAACTTTGCTTGTCAATCCAATCAATTAAAGATAACTTTAAAATAAACTGTACTCGTCAAAAATATAAAGAAGGGGTCGCCTTAAAAAAAATTCAAGATCCTGGGGTAAAGAGGCTTTTTATTCTTGGTCTAGCACAGTCTTCTCAAGAAAACTATCAAAATGTGCTTCAGTTATGGTCCGCAATTGACATAAACAAATTTACTGGTACAATTGCGACCGACCTAAAGCTTGCTAATGTTTTGGCTGGCATTATGAGTCATAGTAGCCTGTTTCCCTGTACTTGGTGTATGGCGGAAAAAAATAAACTCAGCGAACGTGCTGAATTTAGAACGATTGGCAACATAATAGAGAATTACTCTAATTGGCGCAATGCAGGAGGAATAACAAAATCTGAAAAGGAGTATTTTAATTCCGTAAATATGCCAATTTTTACAGGCGGCTCAAAAAAGCGTATTCTGGATATAATTTCACCGCCTGAACTTCATTTGATGCTTGGAGTGGTAAAAACAATATTTAACCACATGCTTGTTGAATTTAAGACAGAAACTTAGGCATGGGCAAAATCCTGCAATGTTGAACGCCAGATAACTAACGGTGGCTCGGGATTTAATGGAAATGCTTGCAAAACATTATTGGAAAAACTTGATCTTTTACGAGCAACATGTCCTCTCAGTTGTTTGAAATTTGTCAAAGTACTTGACGACTTTCGATTAATTGTAAAAGCCTGTTTCGGTTCAATTCTTGATCCATGCTTTAAAGAGTACATCGCTAATTTTAAAGAAAGTTATTTGGATTTGGAAGTTTCGGTAACACCTAAAATTCATGCAGTGTTCTATCACGTAAAAGATTTTTGCGTAAACCATAAAAAAGGATTAGGCTTTTACAGTGAACAAGCAATGGAATCAGTTCATTTTGATTTTAATAGTGTTTGGAATAAATACAAAGTGCACCTTCATCATCCAGAATACTCTCGCTACTTATTAAATGCCGTGTGTGACTTTAACGGACTTCACGTATAAGAAAAATAATATTAGTTAATTATATGTTAATTTATTAAGTATAATTATAGAACTATTATAATAGTTCTATACACATAGTAAGAGCTTTATTAATATATAAATATATAAATATATATATATATATATATATATATATATATATATATATATATATATATTAGGGTGGTCCTTAGCTATAGAGGTAAAAGATATACTTTTAATATTGAATTGTCCCACCCCCCCATTTTGTTATAACACAAGAGAAAAAAAAGTACACAAAAATTTGAATGGCCAACTCAACCCCTTCACGTGCCTGTGAGGTGTTGAATTTTGACAAAATCCCCAATTTTTAAGGTTTTTGCCATTTACTCCGCAAAAATCGCATATCTCAAAAAATTTTACTCATTAAAATCTTTTCGTCTATTAAAGGTCTATAAAAATTGTCTCTTGAGATTTTATCCTAGAAAGCACCATTTCGTGGAAAATTGCATTTGTGCATAATTACCACAAATTTAAGGTTTCAGTAAGGGGCTGTACTTAAATTACGTAACGTTTTTAAAACGACATTTTTACCCCTCCCCCCCTATGTAACAGATCGTAACAAATTATTATATATAGTTTTTTGCACTCCTGCACTATCAGGAAGCCCCGCCTGCTTATGCGAAATTCGGGTTCCTCGAAGTGAAATTTATTAATTTCAAGAATTCTTCGAAATAACCATTTTTTGGACTTGTTTAATAATGTTTTTACTATATACTTACTTTTATCTATGGTAAACTAAATTTTATTATAAAAAAACGCTTAAAATAAATATGAAATAATATTAAATTTTTACGTTAAAATATAAAATTTTTGGATTTTTTGGAATACTTCCGGGTGCGTCCCGGTTTTTATTTAATTATTAATTTACAGAGGATTTAACTAAATATCAGTAAAAGAATTGGTTCCGGATTTGTCCGGATTACCGTGTTAAGCTGTTTTTAAGATAAGCACGTACAATGTGAAACACTACGGTTAAGGGAGGTATTCCTCCCTTAACCGTAGTGCTTATTCTTTTCTCAAAAACTCCTGAAATTACAACATTTATAGGGAACAACATTTATAGGGAACAAAAAATCATGAAATAATACCTATAATTTTTTTAAATATTATATTTTCACTTTTTTTAATGGCATAAGATGCTATAATATAGTATGTTATACGATTTTAAACAGTTATAACTCGAAAAATTATTTTGGCCAACTTTTTAGTACTAATTTGCGACGTCAGAAATACTACTGCGCACAGAGTGCTACTGCGGGAATTCACTGCGTAGTCAGGTGCATAGAGTACCTACCCCACCTACTTTATTTGTATTCCTAAGCGCCACAGACCATTTTAAATCTTAAAATTTACCCAAGATGCATTATTTTGCTAAATCAAATGACTAATAAGATATTTTTGAAAAACAAGCGAAAGTTACTTCAATGTAAAATTTGTGTTATTTGTGCATTTATGCAGTTTTCTACGAAACGGTGCATTTTAAGGCGGCTGCACAATTACACGGGAACGCTAACGAAAACGAGAACGGAAACTAAAACGAAAACGAGAAGATTCACAAGATTCACAATTAACATAATTATTTTAATTCTTAGGTTAATATATTTTGGGGATATTTAATTTATTTGGTATTTATAATAGAAATATACGTACGATCATACTGCAGATGTTCAGCTATTAAAAGCTAACTATTTTTCTTTAATAATTAATCTTTATACTCTTTTAACAGGCGATCGTACAGATGTGGGAACTTTTTTACTAATAAAATAATTAATTCGTCGTTCATTTTCATTAATTTATTAACACAGAACGTATTGATAAAACAAATAGCGCGAATGTCAGAAATAATTTGACAGATTAAACTGATTTTCTATTGGTTTCGATAATGCTGCGTTTCTATTGGCTACCGGGAACGAGAAACTTAAAACTTTACCAACTTTCTCGTTTCCGTTCGCGGGATGTTCTCGTTCTCGTTACCGAAAATTTGTTGTGCATGTGTACATTGACTTATGTGCGTTTAATTTTTTTCTCGTTACCGTTCTCATTTTCGTTTCCGTTCCCGAGTAATTGTGCAGCCGCCTTTAGGATTATATAATAAGGTACCATTTACCTTTAATAGACGAACAAATTTTATTCTGTAAATTTTTTTGAATTGGGCGATTTTTAAAAAGTTAATGCCAAAAATACTAAAAATTGAAGGATTTTGTCGAAATTTAATCATTTACAGGCACGGGAAGGGGTTGAGTTAACGATCCAAAATTTTGTGTGATTTTTTTTCTCTTGTACTATTACAAAATTTGGGGGTGGGACGATCGAATTTCAAAAGTTCAAAAATAAGGACCACCCTAATATATATATATATATATATATATTAGACTGGTTCAAAAAAATCGAATATTTTTTCTTCTTCAAAGCCCGCATTGAAATATCTTTCTAGTAGTGAAAAAGGAAGCCTGTGAAAATTGTAGCTCTTAATATTAATATTTAGAGGTCGCTCACCGTGAATTTCTATTTTACGTTTAAATAACACAGGAGTTCTTTTTTCTTAACTTTGAAATTTTATAACTCGTTTTTGAGTGAACATATTGGAATAAGCGACACATATTTTTAAAGAAAATTGAACGCTCTACAAAAAATGTCTCTTATATTTTTTTTATAAATTAACTTCTTTTATAGTTATTCAAGGTTGAAATTGGACATATAATAAATTTAACGTTTTTTTTTTCAATTGGTGGCATAATAAAAACCTTATCACTCATTATTGTACAGGATGGTCCAGTTTGTAATACATTAATTTTAATAGCATCAAAAATAAGGTAGACTTTCATATAAAAACATTTCTTAAAAATGTTTTCTAAGAGAAATACAGGCCGTCAAAGTTTCCAAAAAAATAGTTTTCTCTTCATAACTTTTAAACCACAAAATTAATTTGGCACAGAATGTAATATAGTCAGTGCCTTAATAATGATGTAGTTAATTATTATAAAAAACATCAGTGCCGCAGTTACTTGGGGGGCTGCTCCCCTTTTCACCTCAGTCTTTGACGCCACTGGAAATTTTAAAATAATAAATAAATGTTTAGGTCAAGTTTTTAATTAAGGAAAAAAATTTGCTCTTGTAAAATTTTGATTTGGGGCTTCGTTTCTAAAATATTTGCTCAAAAATGTTTCCTCGCAATATACATTTTTAGATTGTTTAATTTAGGGTTTCGTTTTTGAAATATTTGGGAACACACTCCAAAAAAACTGCGGCAAAAGTATTCTTGGATAAATAAATTAATTATTTAAAAAATAAAGCACTAAATCAAAATTTTACATGAGTAGTTTTTTTCTCTAAATTAAACAGATAATCTAAAAATGTGTTTATTATTAAAAAAAATTCCAGTGGCGCCTAAGGTGAAAAGTGGAGCAGCCCCCCAAATAACTGCGCCACTGATGTTTTCTTTAAATAATTATCCACATCATTAATAAGACATTGACTATATTGTGTACAAAATTTGATAAAAATTGATTAAGTGGTTTAGAAGTTATGATGGGGAAACGAGTTTTTTTTGTAAACTTTGACGGAAAGCGTCTCTGCGAGGAAACATTTTTAAGCAAATATTTCAGAAACAAAGACCCAAATCGAAATTTTACAAGAGTAAATTTTTTCTCTAAATTAAAAACTTGACCTACAAATTTATTTAAATTTTTAAAATTTTTAGTGGCGTCAAAGACTGAGGTGAAAAGGGGAGAAGTACCCACACATTATTATTAAGGCACTGACTATATTACATTTTGTGCCAAATCTGATGAAAATTAATGTTGTGGTTTAAAAGTTATAAAGAGAAAACTAGTTTTTTTGTAATCTTTGACGGCCTGTATTTTTCTTAGGAAACATTTTTGAGAAATGTTAATTAATGAAAGTCTACCTTCAAATTAATGCATCACAAACTGGACCGCCCTGTATAATCTTTTTTAAAAATTTTATATAAATTATGTTTCTTAAAAAAAGTTATTGCTCATTCCAATATGTCCACTCAAAAAAAAGTTATAAAATTAAAAGTAAAAAAAAATTCCTGTGTTATTTAAACGTTAGATTTATTATATGTCTAATTTCAACCTTGAATAACTATTAAAGAAGTGAATTTACGAAAAAATTATAGGAGACATTTTTTGTAGAACGTTCAATTTTCTTCAAAAATATATAGGGTTCATTCCAATATGTTCACTCAAAAATGAGTTATAAAATTTTAAAGTTAAGAAAAAAGAATTTCTGTGTTATTTAAACGTAAAATAGAAATTCACGATGAGCGACCTCTAAATATTTATATTAAGAGCTACAATTTTCACAGGCTTCTTTTTTCACTACTAGGAAGATATTTTAATGCGGGCTTTGAAGAAAAAAAATATTCGATTTTTTTGAACCAGTCTAATATATATATATATATATATATATATATATATTATCAATATATATGCACTTTGTTACCTCAAAGGTATTATTAATTGTTTTGGGTTACCATTTTTTTAGTTTTGTATTTTTTATTATTAAGATAAACGTTTTTCAAAAAGCGCCCCCTAGAATATTTTGTTTTTGGGCTTACAGTGTTAATAAGATGTCAGAAAATTAAAATTAACAAACAAATTCCATATGCAAAAACATGCCAATAAAATTTATTTCAGCCGCACCGTGCTGGAGTACCCTGTTGTTACTCATCCACAAGATCGCATTATGTTTCAAAATCAATTAATACAAGATTATTTTGCGAATTTATAAAATTTAATGTGAATAATATTTTTGATGTTTTATTTAATTTATAGGTACTTATTTAAAATTAAAATAAAATAAATAGTCACTTCTTGTTTATTATTATAATACATACATATTAAGTTTTTCTTTTTCTTGTATCCACAAGATTAATTTGAGGAGCGCCCCCTTTTTCAGGTTCTGGATACATATTATTCTCTCTTGCCATCAACTGAATCGGTCGTACATGAAATAGAATTGAATCAAAGATGATAAAGATCTTTATCATCTTTATCATCGAATCGAACCACAGATTAAAATTAAACCAATTAAAATCCCCGAAATCAAATCAAAAACAGGGGGATCCAACAAAATATTAGGTAACAATGCGGCATTGCCAAATTTAATTGCGGTGTTGCCAGATTTTGCATAAATTTCCCAAACGAAAAAAATAATTAATGAAATTCGTTTATCTTTGAATTAAAGTCGATTACTTTTTTTTTGCAAATCGTATACCGGGGAACTCAAAAAAGTATTCAGCAACACTTTGGCAGGTGTCAAGTGAACATGTGACAGATGACAGGTGACAAATAAAAGTAACAGGTGCTATATGACAGGTGGAAGAAGAGAAATGGCAGATGACAGGTGACATGTGACAGATAAAAGGTGATGTGTGAAGTTGACAGATGATTAGTGGCAGATGACAGATGAAAATGACAGGTGACAAGTGAAAGATGAAAGGTGGCAGATGAAAGGTGCCAGATGACAGGTGACAGATGTCAAGTTGACAGATAAAAAGTTGACAGATGACAAATAGATGATGACAAATGACATGTGACATATAAAAGGTGACAGATGTGACAAATGAAAATTGACAAATAACACAACACAGTTGACAGATGACAGGTGACAGATGACAGGTTACAGATGACAGATGACAGATGACAGGTGACAAATTACAGATGACAAATGACAGGTGACAGATGACAAATGACAGGTGACAAATGACAGGTGACAAATGACAAATGACAGGTGACAAATGACAGGTAACAAATGAAAATTAACAGATAACACAACACAGTTGACAGATGGAAGGTGACAGGTGAAAGATAAGAAATAGCAGATGACAGATGACATGTGACAGATTACAGGTGACAGATGACAGATGACATTTGACAGATGACAATCAACAGGCCAGGTGACAGGTGACAAATGACAATTGATAGATGACATGTAAAAAATTATTTTTTTTTAGCAGTAGTTCGATTAGCCACGTTGCCAGGTTGGATCGAATTTCTTAAATTCTTTTTAATTTTTTAAACATACCACGTTGCCAGGTGGACCGGTCGCACCGTGATTCCCACCCGCAGCGAGCAACAAGCTCAGCTTGCTGAGCTTGTTAATACTGACTTTAATTATAAAAATGGGATATTTTATTTTAAATACTTATTTTACAAACATCTTAATGTTAGAAGGTTATATTTTGTTATGTTATTGCTGACGCGGTGTGTTAGCTTAGATGACCGAAGTAGGTCAATTAAATAATTATTGTTTAATTTTAAGATTGCACAACATGTAATAATAACTAAATCTGCATCAAATTTGTTTAATTACTCGGCCCGTGGATGTCAATTTGACCATTTCCAGGTCAAATATAAAAACAATCGAAATAGATGAAAAAATAATGAAGCCAAGTGAAGAGGATATAAATGAGCTGAGAAGCCAACAAAGCGACATACAGGAAACAATCGAGGATTTTCAGTGGAAGAAGGTGGTTCATCACTCAATTCATCACTCAATTCTTATTAGCACCACAACTTGTTGGCTTCGTATTAACAACCTTCTGCTGCATCTGGAGGTTCAGACGACGCAATAAACAAAAAAAAGGTGGACCAACCAATGGAACTAACCAGTACCAGGCCCATTTAAGTAGTAGTCTCCATCGACGTACATTGAGAGCTGACGACTAGGGAAATTACCATTGAATCTCAGGGACACTCTGCTGGTGGTCGCCAATATGTATAATTAAAAATTAAACAGAAATTTTTTTTTAATACAATTTGAGTTTAAAAAAAGTTACTATCAAAAATTCAGGAATGTGCAAGGTTGCGTATAGCAGCAGGTGATTAAACTAGAACACCTTAGGCAGCATTGCACCGATTGCGGCAACCAGCAGTTCCACAACAAAGATGCATTTTTTGGTTTTTGTTGTTTAATTTTATATATTGTTTTACTTTAAATGTTTATAACTACTGTTTTGTTTATATTGTAAATTTGTATATAACTCAATAAGTTTTTAATAAAAATCAGTTCCAAAACAAATTCCAATTGGTTTTTATCTGGTAAACTTAACATTGTTCATTAAGAACTGAGAAGTGAGCAAGATCAAGGACCATCCTTGTACTCGCCCAGTGATTGGTGAACAAACAAATTACTTAAAATTATAATATAATATATATTATTTATACTATTAATATTAATTTATAACACAAGCCACCTAAAGTTTATTATTTCTGTATATTACTTGGTTCTCGAACGCGCCTGTTAGGGTTTAATATTAATGTTTATTCAATTTCTGACTAAATAAGTGAGGCAACACCGCAGGGCTTCGGATATACGCGATATGTGTTGCAGTATATGCACCACAGAAATTTTAATTTTATTATAAGATTTTCATATGCTCATTTTTTGGGTACCCCAGAAAATTTGAGCGTTACATTTTATATAAGAAACTGCAATGATCATTGCCATAAGTTACTTTGATACAGAGGTATAACATTCCAAACATAAAATTATTTTTTCTCATGTTAAATTAATGGGAAACTAAAATAAAAACAGCGACCTCTTAGAGTTGAGCTGAAACGCCCATATTTGGTGAGAATTTTTTTTATATTAAATAGAAATATTTGAGAGGGTAAGAGCGAAAAAAAAATTAAATTTTAATTTTTGAAGCACCCTAATATATATATTAAGGTGCTTTTTTTTCACGACTATTTTTATTTTTTCGCTCCCAACTCAAAATCTTGTTGAAAATGTTAAAAAAAAATTCTTAAAAGTTTGAGCCTTTAATATTAACTCAAAGTACTCTACCAAAGCGTATAAAGATTTCCCATTGAAAATACACGTAAACTTTGATTATTTTTTTTTAAATATCTATATCTCAGCCGCATTTTATGCTATTGGATTTTTTCAAAAAGGTATTTACTCGTAATCAAAAGTTCTACAAAAATGCTTTATGTGCCATAGCTGTAATCTGCACCTGTAGGATGGTACGGGTCACTAAATTTTATTTTAGTGAAAAATTCTCATATTTTTTAAGATATTTCAAAAGTGACTGGATTCTTTGAAAAAAATGTAAATGACAAACTTGTAGAAAATTTAATTTTCTTTAAGAAAGGTATTATCAGTTAAATTGCTAAGATTGATATTTGTTGAGATATAAAGCGTTTACATTGACATTTTATGAAATTTTCAGGATTTTCGTTCCAAACTTTTTGTAAATGATGATTTTCAATTGTTTATCAGTACAATTTCATGTAATGAAGTTTTTTATACAGTGCGGTGATTCTAAAAAAATAAATAACTAAAACAGTCAAGCATAATAATTATTATTAATAAAATAACATGTTGTATGTACTACACCTCGTTATATCATTTTTTAGGTTAGATATATCTTTTCACTTTAAAGTTATGTTCAAAAAATTCGAAAAGTATACGTTTTCTGGTTGGCACAAATTAAGCACATTTTAAAAATCATAAAGAAAAGTACCAACTATGGTCCTTTTCTTTACGATTTTTAACTACAGTCTTAAAATTAGAACGTCTATTTGAAAGATATATACAAGGAGCTACTATAATGATTTTTATTATATTAATTAATGCTTTTTCATGACATGCGCAGCATAAATTTGACTTTCGCTGCCTTTTGAGCGATGCGAAAATGGCGGATTTCTGGGGAAAGCAGACGACTTAAGTTCTTTAATAATTAATTTAATAAAGACAATTATTATCTTTAGTTTAATATATTTTTGTTTAAGCATTAACTCAAGGATTTATAAAAAGTTTTGATTAATATATTATATATATTATATATAATATTAATGAGTTTTTCTCTCAAAAGTCGAATTTCCGTTGTGTCATGAAAAATAGTGTACAAATTTTGTGATGAAAGGCGGCGATTTCTAAATAGTGGCACTATACCGACCTCACAGACACATTCTCTTTTGCTTAGACCTAACTCACGAGGCTGGGAACAGTAGGTTTAGGAACCCCCAGAACACAAATTGGGACCAGTATGTTGAGATGTTGAAGACTAAGCTAGAGAACTCTTCCATGACGTGTCGCAGCTCTCGGCAAGTGAAGGAAACAGAAGAATTCGTACGCGATGATAAGATAAGATTTAAAAGTTTTGTTTAAAAACGCGTAAATATTAACGATTTTTTTCTCTCAAAAGGCAGCGAAAGTCGAATTTCCGTTGTATCATTATAAATAGAGTACACATTTTGTGATGAAATGCGGTGATTTCTAAGTAGTAGCACTATACCGACCTTCGTCACGTCACGAAGAAAGACTTGACATTGGGCTCCCTCTCCATGGGCCATGCGGTCTAAAACACCCGCGGATTGGGACAGCCACAAGCAGTCTCAGCATCAGGTACAAAGATCTCATAAGAAGGTCTAAGAAAGAATCTTGGAGGACGTTCTGCGATAACGTAGACAAACTTCAAAAGATTGTCTCAAAAAATCCAGGACGAGAGCTGGGGACATTAAGGCTTCCCTCCGGTGACTATAGCACCACCGCGGAGGAGGCACTTAAACGGCTGCTGGAAACTTAATTTCCAGGCTTAGAAACTCTGTAAACTGTCAAACCACCAAGGCAAGCTCCACCAGCTGGCATAAGGCCAACTGACTGGAAGATAGCTGCAAAGGTAGTGACAGAAAACTACATAAAGTGGGCTATCCACTCATTTGAATCTTTTAAAAGCGCAGGAACAGTTGGCATCTTTCCGGCTCTCTTACAAAAGATGCTACAAACCACTGACCCCGCACTTAATACGCCTCTTCCGAGCCTTCCTTGCACGGAGCTACGTGCCACAATCCTGGCGAAAGGTTCGAGTGGTGTTCATCCCAAAGCCAGGACGTTGTAACTACTAGATGACAAAGGATTATAGACCCATCAGTCTATCCTCGTTTCTTTTAAAAACTATGGAGAAACTGGTGGACATATTTATTAGGGATGAGGCACTAAAAAGAATGCCCATGCATCCTAATCAACACGCCTACAGGACAGCCATGTTGACGGAGACCGCTCTTCACAGCCTGGAGAGAAGAACCCGTCCTAAAGAGATGGCTCTGGGCACGTTGCTAGATATGAAAGGAGCATATAATATTACTTCCTCCCATAAATGGAGATGCAGAGGGATTTGGCATAGAACATACTATTGTCAAATGGATCCGTGTCATGCATGAAAGCAGCATCATTACAAGCTCGATTGGAACTACGGAGATAAGCTTAACCGTAGCCAGAGGCTGCCCGCAGGAAGGGGTACAATCGCCCCAGTGCTGGATGGGCTAATTCGTATTCTAAACGAGGAAGGTATATACACTCTACACGCTCTTCGGATCAAGACTAACCCAATCCAAATCAGTCAAATATCTGGGAGTCATCATTGACTCTAGATTGACCTTAAGGCCAATGATCACATACGGCGGCCTAGTATGGTGGGATGCGCTGAGAAAGACCACCTATATGAAAAAGCTAGAAAAGCTCCAACGACTTACCTGCATGGGCATAATTGGAGCTTTTAGAACCACTCCAACACTGGCAACGGAGGCCATACTGTGACTGGCGCCTCTACATCTCTTTGTGAACGGCACGATACGGGCTCGGCTCGGCTCGGCTCGGGAGGCCTCTGTCAGACTCAACGATTGGAGACAGTGGGCTCACAGGGGAGAAAACTTAGGGCATGCAGAGGCCTGGACTGAGACTATCAACGGGACCCCTTTCTCACAAGACGGGTCTTTACTAAAGGAAGGTGCAGGAGCTGGTATATGGGGAGCGACATGGGGCGAGAATAAGCCTTGCACTAGGTTGATACTCAACGGTATACCAGACTGAAATCTATGCCATCTTGATATGCGCCCAAGTGAGGCTACTCGGATAAACATATAAGGGTCAACATGGGGCTTACACTGGACTGCATAAAAACCCCTAAATTACTAAGTGTGCTCAACAAGGTCACCCTTATCTGGGTACTTGGTCATCGAGGCTTCAAATACAACTGGGAAGCCGACCAGCTGGCTTGTGAGGGCAGTAACACGGCCTAGGGCCAGAACCTGCCATAGGGGTCGCCTCCTGTCTGGTAACAGAAAAGAAAAAGAAAAGATCAGGAACTTGTAACCTCAACTTGAGGGCTATGGCGGCGGAGAGATAGGTCGATGGGCAAATGTTGTTTTTCGATACTTACGTGTTTTTACTAAAGTCGAATAAAAATTGGGCGCCAGTGTCCTATTTAATGTTATTATATTTTAGCTGTTGGTGAATATGTTAACACTTTATAAAGTTGATTGGTTATAATTTAGGGTCCCCTTATCTGGCCATATTCGTTTTACAAAAACCTATTTAAAGTCATAAAGACTAATTTTGACATGACTAAAAAGTTATTGATGATATAAAAACACTAATGAGTTGGTATTAAATGAATACAAATGATAAGTTAAAATTTCTCCCATAACACGAGAGTGTGGCAGAGTGTAGTGAACCTTAAATAGCATAAATAAACTGTAGTACGACCTGATAACAGTTGGGTAGGGTGGGTTTCAAATTGGATTTCTTGACCTTTAAATCTCCTATTATGTCAGATTTTACAGGATGGCT